ATTACAACTCGTCAAAGAGACAAGTGAAGCCGATCCTTTGACCAAACCTGTGCTAAACGGTTATGGTATCGAAAACAAGGTCAAACAATTTCTATACAACGGAAGGAGATTGCAACCACAAAAAAGGCCACACAATCTTGGTCTTATACTTTCGATACATTACTTATTTTTCGTTTATAAGTAGGTTTTCGAGACTACCAGTAAATCAGATGCCTTGAGCAGCACCGATATAGTGACAGTGATTGAGTGAGCAAGAGGGAGACTTTGGAAGGACTTGGCGGTGATAGGTTGCAGACTAAAAGGGCCAAATTGGAGCGACATTCCCAGCACAATGTTGGCACGTAGGAAACAGTGGGACACTCCTGGACTAGGTTGAAATGAGAAAGTTAGAAATCGTGATAGAAAGTTGATGATAGGTGGATGGATCATGACAGGAGAGATACCACGACTATTCATCAGACAGTTGGTCAAAGGAAAGACTTCATTTGTCTCTTTGCGGAAGCATAGGGTGGTGCTAAGACTGGCAAGGCTCACCGATGATGCCGAATATGATGCAGGTGAAATGTCCGAGATTGTACTAAGTACAGGGTCCGAAGATGGAAAGCATCATGGATACTATGGTAAAAACGCCGGACCAGTTGCGTTCAGCGAGGTCTGTCCGACAATAAGACAAAGTTGCGAAAACGAAATTGAGCCATTTATATTCAACGAAAGAAGACTGCGACCATACTTCAGGTCGCATCTTCCTGATGGCCACACTCCCGTAGTAAGGATTCCTAAGCCTGCATTCAAGTCTGGTCGTATAAGGGCAAGATCCTAGGGTTGTATGTCACTTGAAGAGGGATACTAATTTGCATCTGCCGAATTTTTCTTCAAGAATGTGTGATACCGGTGAAAGCTACTGGGTTTATAAGCCTCTCTTGAGATAACGTTGTTATGGAGACCTTTATTTCGTATGAAAATGCATGAAGAAAAGATTCGTAGGTTGATTTCACCAGAATAAATAGGTTAAGGAATAGGTTGAATGTGAGGAGTGGTGGTAGAAAGTTAAGGAAAAATTACTTATGTTTTATTGAAAGATCGAAATGATGTCGAATCGCTATCCAACAGTTAGCTTAAGCTCATCAACCAAACCCGACTTTCGAGATTATGCAATTCTATGCAATGCCTTCCTTGGGTCATTAAAACTTAATGAACATTGGCGTACAGGTTATGACAAGTGGTTTTGTAATTGTACAAGCTTAATTCTTATTATCACAACCAGAGATGCTCACGAACTTATGGAGTCTCCGTCAGGGTTTCTCTTGAGTCATTGAGCCTTGATAACCCGAGACTGATAGTAGATTTTTTTTCTAATTCTGATTTCGGACCGGTATTGAGTATAGACGTTAACACACAGCAATACAGACATATGCACATACACATTTAAGTAAAAATACCAATCTATCTATGTCTATATATTTTCGTTTTCTAATTAAGTACATGTAAGATGTATTCACTCTATTTCGTTTGCGATGATGAAAGACTGGTAGTTGAATTTTCTCAGCATCATATGAGTAGATATTGAAGTCCGTATAGTCTTGCTTTTTCCCAAAAGGTGTTCTCCTCCTGTCTGGACTGCAGTTTCAACTTTTTCGTCGTCTTCTGGTGAGATCAACTTACAAATTTTTCTTCCTGCACTTTCGGGCGAAATAAAAGTCCCCACAACTCTAAAGTAAGTAGCATCGTCATTGTATTGACAAATACAATCCATCTCTTCGATAAGAGTGAATTTGGAAAGGTCTGGCATGTCTTGAAAGTCACAAGTGCAGAGTGATGATGTGCAATCAGTTTACGCGCAAGATCCGCTTTTGAATATCTTTGTGAATGCTGATGAGGCCAGAGAGGTGTTGAAACTTCAGTCGAACCTGAGAAGGCCTTTGGGCGCAAAGGCTATTTGCAATTCAAATACTTTGTTAGGACTACTCATTTAATTTAATTTTGGTATTTTGTAAAGATTTACTGACAATCGAGAAAAATACTTTCATTTCTCTCCAAGTTCAGACTATGCCAAAAGTCAGCTACTTTCTTAGGGCTAGCCCCCAAAACTACTTACATCGAAAATAAGTAGCATCGTCGATTGAAATGACAAATAGATGTTTGACTAAATTACAATCTCATTATAACAGTGCAAATTGTGTGAGGTCTCGACTGTTGTATCTGCCCTGCGACTCACTTGTACCCGTGGCCGTGTATGGGAGGGATAAGCTTTGCCGCAATACTCATGAACCGGTGTCGAATCAGGTTGGGTCAGCTGATGATTATGCTCTGATGTGTGGTCGGATTTTGAAAGAGTTCAGCCAGGACAAGAAATGGCGTAGGTCTGTTCAACAATCCTGCTTTGGATTCTTAAAAAAACTTTTTAGACGTTATTTATTGATGGTATTATTTAAGTAATATAAAATGTATTCACCCTATTTCGTCTTCGTATTTAAGTATTGTTTCGAAACTACCAGTAAATCAGTACTATGAGATGTATTCACCCAATTTCGTTACGTATGAAAGTAGGGTTTCGAGACTACCAGTAAATCAGTGTAATGAGATGTATTCACCCTATTTCGTGTAAGATGATATGAGTTGAGCTGACGTTTCCATTGAATTTTACGTGATGAAGGACTGGTAGTAGAATTTTCCCACAATGATATGAGTTGAGCTGACGTATCCATTGAATTTCATATGAAGGACTGGTAGTAGAATTTTCCCACAATGATATGAGTTGAGCTGACGTTTCCATTGAATTTCACAAAGCCTTGCTTTGCCAAAAGTTGTTGTCCTGACTACCAGTAAATCAGTAATATGAGATGTATTCACCCTACTCACTCACAGCTGATGAGAACCAGGTAAAGGTGAAAATGCAGTCCAGCCTGACCGAGATAACCATTTGTGAGGCAAAACTAGGTGAAATTCATTGAAATCGTGAGGAGAACTAATCTGATTTTTGGAGGACCCAATTATCAGTCCTTAAATCACCTGAAGTGACAAGGTTCCTATGCAAAAATTACTGATTGCCTAAAAAACTGCTTACATCAAAAATTAAATGACACATTTC